TGGGCTTAGCATCTGCTGGGGCTCAGCATCCACCGGGGCTCAGCTCAGCACTCGCCGGGGCTCGGCACAAACCTGGGCTCAGCATCCTGCGGGGCTCAGAACCGCCCGGGGCTCTCAGCACCCATTGGGAACTCAGCATCCTCCTGGGCTCAGCTCGGCACCTGCCTGGGCTCAGCACACACGTTGGCTCGTCACCTGCCACACCACAGCCCCGGCCCCCCACTCCTTCTTGGGAGGAAAAATGTTCCTCCTGAAACACCTTGCCCCCCAAAAGTCTCTACGTTTCCCAGCTTTTAGTAGGAAATATGATGGAGAATATTTGCTGTGAGGGTGGTGAGGCCCTGGTACAGGTTGCCTAGAGAAACTGGGGCTGCCCCATCCCTGGAAGTGTCCAAGACCCGGCTGGCTGTGGCTTGGAGCAACCTGGTCTAGTGGAAGGTGTCCCTGCCCATGGCAGGGACAAGATGATCTTTAAGATCCTTTCCAACCCTTAATTTTCTATAATTCTATGGAGGGGAAACCCCTGGGGTCATCACTAGGACACTCCCAGGCTGCTGCTGCTGAAGAACTTGGCATTTTCCAGAAGGATTTTTTAAACTGCCATATTCAGAGAATCATAGAATCACAGACTGGTTTGGGTTGGAAGGGGCCTTAAAGACCGTCTCGTTCCACTCTCTGCATGGACGTCTTCCACAAAATCAGGTTGCTCATTCCTTGAAAATGGTTAAAAAACACCATGAGGAAAAGCTTTATCCCTGGCATGCAGCCCCCCAGCCCGGGGACAATCTCGTTATCCAGCCACACACATCACAGCTTGTCAGCTCTTGGACCCCACCAAGGATGAATCACAGGTCTATTTGGAAAAATCACTTGGAAAATGTGTCCTGATCCAGAATTTAGGCATTAAAATTATACATTTCCCTTAGTACCTCATAATCCTGTGGCCAAGCTTGGAAATTTTCCCCTGGCACCATAATTAACATGAAAACAAAGCCCAGTTCCAATAAAATTGGTACTATTTCACTTTAGCTTTTTTCCTGAGTCTTTTTTTTTAAATATTTATGTGCAATCGGCCAACTCAGGTATAGGGTTAATAAAGGATTAATATTTATTTTTAAACCATTTCAGTTTTCAATATTAATATCAAAATAAGAATGTCTCAATCCAGCCACCTGAAAAGCCTGTCCTGGCAGCATCATGTCGAATGCCATCCTGAGCCTCTGTTTCAGGATGAGCTTATTTTGCTTATTCTTTGTGACATTATTCATGGAAATTAATAATAATATGAATATCACAACATCCCCCCATCTCTGATGAAAGGGAGAGGCACTTTTGTGATTCAGCTCCCATTTTTTCTGCTCTGAACCACCTGGGCCCTCCCAAGGAGCATCTTAATTCTGGAAAATTATTTATCATCAATTTTAGTCCAAGTAATTCTTTTGCTAAGTCCTATTAAACATGCGGATTCTCATCAGCCCTGCGCTAATCCCTCGGGAGTTTATCCGAAGACTGGCCTGCATGTGGAATGACACATGAAGGGAGCTCAAAGCTGACCCCAAAACGTTTTGGATGGGCTAGGCCACCCCAACAGAGGTTTTACTCAGCTCCTCATCCTCGACCAAAGACAGGTAAGAATCCAGACCAATTCCCAAGCGCCTTATTAAGAACAGAAATGAAACATCCTGCTTTTCTTCTCACAACTGCTGCAGCGTCTCCCGTCGGGATGAAGCAGCTCGTGGCCGGCTGGAGCTGGTGGGCAGGACAATCCCCCTTTGTCCAGAGCACCAGGAAGGACAATGAAGCTCCTGTTGAGGATCAGGCATAGGGAGGCACCACCCCAACAGGACAGCGTGGGCAGGGGGACCCTGCAGACACAGACCTCGGATCCTTCTGGATAATGTGCAAAGAGGGAAAAATCAAAGCCCAAGGGAAAACAAAGACTAAAAGGACATTTTTTGGCAGAGGAGTGAGAGCAGAGGAGCAACCACATAGAGCAAGAAGGTACCAGGGTCTCGTCTTCTCTACCGATGGAAACAGCCCTGTAATCACTCAATCCAGCACAGGACTACACTCGACCAGGCTTGAATTTACCAAAATTAATAGTACTCTGGTGTGAGAGGGAGTCTGGTGTGACTCCCTTAACATAAGCAGGCAGCACCTGAACACAGACTCACAGAGTCCACGGCAGAGAGGCTTCATTACGAGGAGTGGGAAGCAAAAAATCATGGATACAAATTAGACATTTTTTTTTTTAGGAAAAGCCTCAGAAGTCAGAAGAAGCTTTGCAAACCCCTCACATGGGGGATGAGGCCCCGAGGTTTGGCGCTGGATTTCCCCTGGCAGGGTGAGAGGTCAGCAGCTGCCGGCCCGGCCCCCTCCCCTCCGGCTGCTTCCCCACGGCTTGGACATCTGCTGTCCCCGCCGCCCAGCTGCCCCCTGCACCGCTCCAGCAGGGGCAGATCCCTCCTTCCAGCTACATTCAACAGAAATGTGCCGTCTGGCCTGGTTCGGACACGAGGAGAGAAGGGGGCTGCTGGGAAAAGCTAAAACCACTCTGGAGCAACAGCAATTTGTAATTATCCCTACTTGGAAAAGCCTTAGGCTATGGGGATGGGAAAGGATGGCATCTGTCCCATCACTCTCTCTTGCCCAGACAAAGATAATTTTGCCCCCTAAGCTTTAAAATCCAACATATTAGACCCTCAGGAATTCTTATTTCCTAAACACTTCCATCTCATCTCCTAAACACTTTGTGTGCTCACTTTGCAGCTGCTTTCGGAGCATCCACAAGCTCCTGCAAAAACACACATCCAGTTATGCCAGCAGTGAACCCCTGAGCTCTCCTTTGTGATGCAGGTATATCCAACATCCCCCAGGAAAAGTCTGGGTGTCCCCAGCCTGGATCAAAAGGACCTTCAAGCATGGGTGGGGGGCTCAGCTGAGGACAGTTTATTGCTCATTAGTGCTCTCAAGGCTGCAACATTCTCAAGGTCGGGGGTCAAATGAGTAATTTGGAATATTGACAGAAAAATTCATGTGTTGAGATGGGTATAAAATCTGTTCGGGGAGCAGGTTCCCCTCACTGCCCACCCCTGTCCCTCCAGCACTGCTGGGTTTAAGCAGGACACAGGGACTCAGCTGGTGACACGGTGGGTGATTCTGCTGATGCCACTTCCTTACCTGGTGAGATAACACAGACTCTCAGGAAATGAGCAATTCCAGTCTGTCATCCATACATTTATATATTCCCTGCACATTGCCTAATAGACTGGTCCAAGGCAGAACGAGCCTTGCCCTGGTCCCTGGCAGAGCCCGCGTTCGGAGCTGCAGAGGCTGCTGACATCTATGGTCAGCCCGGGGTATTGACGCTTAAAACTATCGGGATCACAGACTGGATTGGATTGGAAGGGACATTAAAGCTCATCCTGTTCCACCCCCTGCCGTGGGAAGGGACACCTTCCACTAGACCAGGCTGCTCCAAGCTCCATCCAGCCTGGCCTTGAACACTTCCAGGGATGGGGCAGCTACAGCTTCTCTGGCCAACCTGTACCAGGGCCTCACCACCCTCTCAGCCAAGAATTCCTTCCCAACATCCCATCTAACCCTGCCCTCTGGATCAAGATGATCTTTAAGGTCCCTTCCAACCCAAATTATTCTGGGATTCTGTGATTCAGGTCTCCACCAGCTATTGCTCCTTGACCTGGGAGAGCAGCCTTGATATAACTCCAGCACATGCAGCTCATCATCCTCCCCTCCCCATCCTGACATTCACAGCCCTCCTGGGGCACTAAACATGGATAACCCCAGAGGGGAGTCAGGGGACGAGCAGATCTGATCAGAGCTCAACAGTCTTGGCTGTTTCCCAGGCAGTTTCAGAGGAGAAATGGAGATTGAGGATACAGCTAATTTGGAAGGTGAAATGGCCAAAGGAAGAGCCACCCACGGTGCTGCTGCAGCTGTGGGACAAGGCACTGGGATGATGTTTTGTGTGATGTCAGGGTAGAGAAGTCTGTGGTTTGTACAGCATGTTACCACGAGCTTATTCCCCTTAACTGACAAAAGTTCCAAAAATTTCTATTAAAGAGAAATCATCACTTGCTATTTCTCATTTAACCAACTCAAACTGCTTTTCTGTGACATCCCTCCTTTTTATCCGTAGACTTTTTAGGAAGAGGCTTTGACAGCAGTCACTGCTTTTCCCACCATAACCACACCAGGCTGACCTACTAGAGCTGCCACTAAGTTCTCCTCATGTGCTAAATTCAAATTTAAATCTCATAAATTCCCCTTTTCATCCGCTCAACGCTACTCTGAGCATTTGTGGAGCTTCTAAGAGCAAAAGCAGAACTCTCAAGACTAAGACCCATCACAAGACCCCATTTGCTTTTTTCCTATAAACTACCCCAAAAGTTATGTGGGAGCCTCAGGCACTTCACAGTAACAAGCTTAATTTAGTTTTAGCCTTTTATTGCTCTCCAAGCTTTTGGGGTTTTGATTCTTTAGAACAATCCCGTTTGTTTTAATTAAACTTCACCTCTATAATCATAGCAAGTGCCAGCTGCCCGTCCACCTCACCAGGGTCTTTCCAAATCCTGTTTCCCATCTCTGGACGAAGAAATCTTCATTAATAGCTTTTTCAATAAAGACTCGACAGCGGTGTGTGCTCAGAAGGCTTCAATGTATTAAAAAAAATAAAGATCTGCTTTCTAAAAACAGAACAACCACGGCCATGCAAGTCCTGGACAAGCAAAAGGCAATCAGAAGATGAAAGGTAAAAGCTGCCTGACATGCAGGAGGCACTGAGGAACTCAAGGAAAACCAGATAAAAACTAAACCAACGATTTACACTGAATGCTAAGTGCCAAAATGTATAAATTAATTAATTTCTCCACAGTGTTGCTGCTGTCTCTCAGACTTTTAGTCCTGTACAACAGCCGAATGTAAGCCATAACAAATTATAAAAAACTATAAAAATGTACAAAAACCAGCTCAACTAGGAGGAGAACTTCATCATGAAAACTGAGGTCAGATCATGTCTACTCTTCCTCAGAGGACTCTCCATCTTCGGCAGGATCCAGTGGCAGGGGCCAAGCTCTGTAAGAAGCATTTCAAAAGCATTAACAGAACTCAATCAAAGGTTTGAAAGGCCAACAAAGCCCTTTTCCCAGAGCCTGAGTGACCTAAATGACATTAATTAGCCCCAGACAGCACCTTGAGGCTTCAGGACAGACAGAAGCTGCTTTATCCCAAGGGCTGCGAGCCCACATGATCAGCACAGACTTTCCTTTCAAATGGGAAAGAAAACATCCCACATCAAAATATCCCTGGACGGTCTCTGTGTGTTCCTGACCCAGAGGGCCACACACAGGTTCCCACACCTTTGTTTGGAAGCTGCATAACTCCTGTTTCACACCTGAGTTTCAGCCTAACTTACTGACCAAAGAGGTTGTGCAGTTGAGCGAGTACAGCTCTTGCTTCTTCCAGAACACACTTGGAAGCTGCAAACTGTTTTGTATGGGGACACGCTGTGTTCTCTTCTCACCACATTTTCTGTTTCACCAAGAGGTAGGATGCACTTAAAAGCCTTTGTTTGCCTGTCCTGCAGGACAATTCCAGGCTGATTCTTATGCCCCCCCCCCCCCCCCCCCCGGTAATTTAGGAATATCTACATTTGGTGGAAAAATGGAGGTTCAACAGAGAATTGGAAACAGAGTGTCTGTAAGATAGTATTTTATACTGCCACATTTTCAGTCAGTAGGGCAGAATACAAGTTAATTTTTGAGGTTTCAGCTTGGAAAAGCAATTCTCTGGCACATGGAAGTGGTGTAGTGCTTTGTAGGCACACAAAGTTAAGTCTAAGCACTGAGAACTTGCCTAAGCTACCAATTACCCCACTCATACATCCCCCCTGAGGTCCCTGGAGACAGATGCTGCACTTAGCCAGGCTTTGCTGGAAACTAGGATACAAAGGTTTGGAGTTGGAAAGTTTGTCAGCTTTTCAGCAGTCACCTGCTCCTTCACAAATTGTAGTTTCACAGCAGTCAGGGAGGAACACTAACCACAGCTTGTATCATCCAAGGACACCAACACCCCCCTCTCAGGCCTCCAGGAATGTCGCTCCCGGGATTATTTGGAAGTGCCAGGGTTTTGCTGTTTGATATCACCCCCCAGATCACTCTCTGACAATCCA